GGCTGGACAGAGCTGCCTGCTGGGAGGCTCATGGCTTGTGTGTCCCTTCTAGGCCTGCTGGGACCAGGGCTTCAGGAGGAAACCATGACCGGGAGGTGAGTGACCTGCCCCGCGGAGATGTTTTTCGGCTCGCTGTTACAGTGTACTTTTGGCAGATCTTCTTGAAAACTGAGCATTTCTGAGAGTGTTTTGTGAAAGTTGCGGGCAGTGATCCATTTTCCTGTGGCTGATCTCATTTTCCAGGACAGCTCCTCTGCCCAGTAGCCTGCTGGGCCCTCTGTTAAACGCCCACAGTTGTGTCTTTCTTGTCTGAAGCCTTTGCCTTAAACTGGTTGTAGTTGTTCATACGGTGTGCTACACGTTCCCCAGCCGGTCAACAGATGCGGGTTATTAATGGTGGTTTTGCTAGCACAGTGTTTGTGAACCTTCAGCGTGCAGTTAGAGGCTTTGGTATGTTGTCTCCTTGCGTAATGGTTGTTCTGCCATTGAGTTCCCTTACGGATGTAGGGGTTGAGTTTGTAAATGGTGGAGGGATTGAATCTGAATCACAGCGTTTTGCCTTAGTATTTGTCTATGGAGTTTATCTTCTGTTGCGGATGTGTGGAAGTTAGAACTGGATGGCTTAGTTTAATACTGCTGTGTTATGGGACAGTTGCTGGATGCAGTTGAGACAGTCATGTTGATGTACGATGTGTGGAATGAGCCTTATAATCGCTTTACCTGTCTGTTAGGAACAGGTCCTTGTCGTGAAGAATTGTTGAGTTTGTGTAATGTCGCTTGTCCAGTGGCAGGGGGGAGCGCGGAGCTGTCTGACTGTACCCATAGACAGCAGTTAATTCCTTTGAGGCTACAAATTAACAGCAGTTAGTATCTTCTTCTATAGTAATTACTTAGTGCAACACGGGAGACTCAGTTCATGTGGTGTATAGGGAAAACAAATGATACTTACTTATCACAGAGTGTTTGTAGACATTTGAAAACATAACACCTACTAATGTTGAAGTGCTTTGGTTTTCATGTGAAGTCTATGATGTCAGAAGTTTATAACAAGCAGAAAGAGACGAAGTTCTCCTCAGTACTTCATTTCCCAGTTCCTTAGTGTTCCTCTATTGACTGCATGTAAGGATTTGCCATAATTAGTAAAAGCAAAAGCAGTGGGGGGTTTTCCTTAGCTAAATTTCTACTGATGGGGAAATAGTTTTTACTGAAACAGCACGTTGTTTGTTTTTACATTTGATACTTTGGAGTGAATTATAATTTGTAAATGTTTTCAATGCCTTTAGGCTCTGGTGCAAGGCCATTTTTGCTGGCTACAAACGTGGTCTACGAAACCAGCGGGAGCACACTGCTCTTCTGAAAATTGAAGGTGTTTATGCCCGTCAGGAGACAGACTTCTACTTGGGCAAGAGGTGTGCCTATGTGTACAAAGCTAAAAAGTAAGTAACTTCTTACTATTATGTTAAATTACCCAACTCCTATATCAGCTTTTACAAATACCAGGATGTGAGCAGTCTGTTTATCAAGTTTCTATAGAACAAAAATAAATTGGGCTTAATTTATCAATAGCATGGCCATGGAGAACTTTGTAGACCAGCTTCCTGGATTGGTTTTGTTTTTAAGATCGTTGGTTATTTTTGCTTTAACTTGCCTCTGTGTTCTTAATTCAGATCATGAAATGTGAAATAATCATTCACTGTTATAAATGATATGTTAGAGGGCAAATAGAATGAGAAACAAATTTTGCCTCAGCTGGCAAAAACCAAAGGTGACTTGATAGAGTAAGTTGAGATGAGGTGAATTTGTGTCGAGTGCTCTGTGCTATTGAGTTACTTTAACAGCAGAATTATCTTCTGAAGCCTGGAGGAATTTGTATCCTGGCTTTTGCATGCCCGTGTCAGAGCACTGTCACTTCTGCTATGCTGGCATTGTTGGAGGCCTTAAGAACAGTTACTTGTTACCTTCACTTTTTTTCTTTGAATGTAGTTGTTAAAAGTTCAGATATGGGAGTTCAGAATTGCCTTGAATAAAATTGATCAGACTGTTAGCTTGGCCACCGTCATTTCCAGGATGGCATATGGCTTTTCTTCTAAAGCAGTTTTTTGCATTCCATCCCAATGGCTTAGCCTCCCCTGCCTTTGGAGTGTCTGGCAGAATCTTACAAATAAGGTGTTTCATTTTCTTTGGAGTTGAAATTGATGAGTTTTTTGTTAGATAATCTTCAAATCTATGTTTTCCAAATTTTTAAGCTTTGTAACTTGTTAATAGTTCTCCAGCAGAGCTTCTGATAAATTACAAGCTGTGCTATTTACCCATTTGGAAGGTATAGTGAAAATCCCAGACCAAGTAATTTTCACAGGTAAATAAAAGTGGAAGCTGGTCCAAGTAAAGATGACTGTGGAATAAAGTTATGGAATTGCCTTAAAGAGGCTGCATGGCCTGCCCTGTCACTGATCAGTCCTGTGTGGAGCTGTGACTGGGGTGCTCAGCAGCTCTTTTCCTTCTCTTTCTGCAGCAACACTGTAACCCCCGGTGGCAAGCCCAACAGGACACGAGTGATCTGGGGGAAGGTAACCCGTGCCCATGGGAACAGTGGCATGGTTCGTGCCAAGTTCCGCTCCAACCTTCCTGCCAAGGCCATTGGACACAGAATCCGGGTGGTAAGTGGATTTATTTTAGCGACAGGATACTTACTGGCAGTTTTCAAGGTGCAGTAGTATGAGGGAAAACTTGAACTATGGTTTTGTTCTGTTGCTGTTGTATATTCAGCGTGATTCTTTGATAAGTGCTCTGTGTGGAGCTAGGAGAGGTTTATAGCTCGCTTCTTGTGCTGCAGGGCTTTGTCTCATTGTCAGGGGTGTTGTATGCTTGCTTGGGTTGCATGGAAAGGCTCTTCGAGTTCTGTGACTGTTCCTTAGTTCTCTTCTAAAGCTATCTTGATTTCTTTTCCCCAAATCTTGTACATGTATTGTTGCACCCTTCTACTCCAGTTCCTACTTGTTGATAGATTTTTCTCCTATCTCCCAAATGTTTTTAACTGAGGTCTGTGCTGTCCTGATGTGTCTTCTAGTACCCGTTCCACAGTCAGTGTTTTAGTCACAAGGCTTCAATGAGATTGTCCCTTTAGGTCCCTCACTCAGAGTTTCGATGCAGTATTTTTCTAGTAATGTTGTCAAAAGGAGTATCAGAGGAGTGCAGTCCTTCGTCTCTGTCTATCTCCTGTACCTTAAAACATAGTAGGAGTGGGACGGTTAAATCCTGAAACTAGACCTGTGAGGACTCTCCTGTCAGTGAGTAAGTGGGCTGACTGCCAGGGAGCCTGTACACTAGCAAAGTGCTACTTCAAGGCGCTGAACTAGCTGTTAGGCTATTCCATTCTTGCACCTCTTCTGTGTAAACAGGGGGGTCGCTTTTACAGTAGTTGAAGAGATGGATCTAGACTGTAACTGCAAAACTTGTGTTTAAAATAATACAGCCCAGTAACAAGATTTCTAACATAATTCTGTCTGTTCTTGTCTTTTACAGATGCTGTATCCATCTAGGATCTAAATTTTTATTGGAAATAAAATGGAGAATCTGTTTAATTTTTGTATGTTTCTATTTTTATCCCTCCCCACCTATTTTGATGGACTCTGTTATTTTTCAGTAGCGTATCAGAATTCCCAGAACAGGGATGGAGTAGTGACTGTAAGCTAGAAGATGAAATGGAGATTCAACCCATGTTTGGCAAGGCATTTGTAGAGCAGGCTACATTCTAAAGATGAGTAAATGGCAGCCTTTACTGCAGCCTGTCTCTGGAAGTGGAATGGTTTGCAGGGCTAAACAATAAATGTTTACAACCCCATAAACTGTGCACACAAGCTTTATATAGAATGTGAGAAATAATTCCTTGCCTACCTAGTAGAGGGAAACTTCCTCTTTCTCTTGTATGTGTAGATGACTGCTGTTGAGACAAGACTCTATAATTGGGACACTAAATCCTAGCAGGTTTAAGTCCTAGCTTGCTTATAAAAATAGTATTTGTAGTAGAATCACAAAGAATGAGACCGTATGTACCTGGGCAGCATGCATGCCTGTAGCCTCTGCTCTGTGGAATTTATTTAGACACACTTTCATCACAAAACTCTGCGGTGCTGGAGTGTTAACGCTTGTTGGTTTCCTGGCCAGCCTTATCACAGTGTGTAATGTGGGGTGGTGAGGATCCTTGCATCAGACTAGTGCATTGCTTTCATGAGTTCTTTAAGGTTTGTTGAACAAGAAGGTGGTAAAAAACGAATTTAAAGATTCTTCAAGTGCAAATCTTGGAATTTCTTAGTACATCCCTCAAAAATACTGGGTAGTTTCAAGGGACGTTTCAGGCAGCTGCAGGCTGGCATGGTTACTGCTGATGTCACAGTCCCAAGGTGACCCATCAGTCCCCTGGGTGGGTGTTACTGCTGCTTCTGTGTAGTTGTTTCATCATTTGGAAAGGGTCCCTAGAGAGAGGCAGGTGAGCAGTTGCCCTGATGTTTCCTTGGTCCCCCTCCAGTGCAGGTCCCTCCTTCCCCACCAGTGAGAACTTCCCTCTCCCTGCCCGGCCCCTGTGCTGCCGGGAAGTGCTCTGAGCTGGGGACTTTGATTGTCTGTCTCCGGTCTTGTGCAGTGGGCTTGTTTTCATAGCTAATCCTCTTCCTTCTGAAGGAGGTGGAGTAGTTGTGTATTCAGAGTACGTTATTGGGTAAGTTAAGACTTTCTTTGGAATAGCAATTCAAACAAAAACTGTTCGGACCTGGCTACTCAGCTCTGCTATAGAAATTGCTTCACTGGACTTTCTTCAAGAACTAAACCTGCTGCTATTGCTGTCTCCAGCCGCAGGAGAGCACTTGCAGGGGGAAGCTGCATTTTTTTTAATGTGTGGAGAGAAACTGCAGCTTATGGGATGGTGGATCAGGTCAAGCAGGGCTTTAGTCTTCTGCAAATACGGACAGGTTGTACACATAGGATTCAAGGGATGGGGTGGAATACAAATGGAATTTCCAGTTTTGGGCATTACCAGGGGAAGGAGGAGGAAACGTAGTGGGCAAATTGGAGTCTAACGGCAGGTTGGCAGGACTGTGGTCTTTATCACGTGGTTGGATTCTGCTGTTGAGATGGTAATAAGTGCTCTTGAGATTGAGGGAAGATGCCCAAGAATACTTAATGATCCCTTTTCTCTTCCCTTTCATCTTTTTATGCTGCACCAGAATTGTGGAGGTACAAAGCCTGTTCCTGGGAGGTCCAACATAAAATAGCATACGGCTACAATTTTTGAATCTTTGTGTCAAAACTCTGCTATTTCACATTCATTTGGTCCCACCAAAATCAGTGTGTTTGCTTGCACTTGCTGGCTGCTCAGAGCAGCAGGCATAGCCTGTTTCAAGGCCTGTGCAGTGCAAGTGCCTCTGCTCCAGCAAACCCCTTCCACTCCTTTCCCCAGCAGTGCAGCAGACTGACCTGTGGGAGGAAGCTATGGCATCAAAGGAGCCTGCTGTCTGTTCCTTTGTGGACCAAACCACCTGGGAGCTCCTCAACCCGCTGGATGTAGCGGGAAGGCAGAACAGATGGGTGCTGGTGATGGAGATGGACAATGACAATGTCAGAGCTCTGTCGGTACTGGTGGATTTTGCCCAGGACCGGTGTGGCACAGCTGACATCAGGGATAGACTACAGCAGGAGAGGATGGAAGAGGAGGAAGTCCAGGTTCGGACACATCTGGTTTTTATGTTGTGGCAAGCCGCTGTGTTGAAGCAGCTCATGTGGTGGGATCACCTGGATGAGGCCCCCTGGGATGTGAGGAACCTCCTCCTCCCCTGCCAGATGTGCTGGTGCTTGTGATGGTCTGTTCAGACCCCCAGGAGCCGCTGGACCAGGCAGTGGGAGTGCGTAGGAGAATGCAGTGTCTGCTGGATGGGGCCTGGTAACTGGTGGTGGAGGCAATGGTCTACTGCCCAGGTCAGCATCGTATGCATCGTCAGCATCAATGGTCTACTGCCCATCAGCCCATCGTCACCATCACCTGGTGGCATCCTGGAGGCAAAGAGATCTGCATATAGAGCACTGAGAGAAGTCTTAAACTGCCATGAAGGTATCCTGGGACGTGGCTAAATACAGGGGCAAGGGATAGAGAGACAGACTTTTTGGAAACAAAAACATGCTCAGGTTGGGGTCTGAGGGACATTTAGTTGAAGGGTCTGGGATGAGCTGTCTAAACTAGTTACGCTGATCCATGGGATCCTTCTCACCTACCCTGATAGAAGGACCCATGGATGGTTTATGTGCATGGCATCCTCTGCGACTCGCTATGTCACAGGCAACTGCTCCAGGCGTGCCTGGCAGCTCAGTGTGGTGTGTTTGGGCATGTGACACCTTGCTGTCATTCGTGCTGTGTTTTCACGCTTGCCCCCTGAGCTGCCCATGCATGTCCTGTCCCTTCAGTACGATGGGTGACAGAAGCTTGCTGTATCCTGACCCAGACTCCACCAAGAACTGTAGATTGGGATCTGAGCGCTGGCTTACGGAGGTGTCAGCACAGCTCTTGTGGGAGGACCGAGAGTGGTGTGGGCTGAACCCACAGCATGTATAGGGCTGAGAATCGGCTGGAGTGGGGACGGTCCTGATCTGTGCCCAAGTGCAGACTGACACTGCTGAGCCCTTCTGTAACAGGAAATCAGTCAGCATACTCTTCAAACTAGAGGCACTGCAAGTAAAACAGTACATTTTTGTTTGCTCATCCAAAAAAAAAAAAATGCAGATGAAAACCCAACATTTAACCAACTGTCCACTAAAGGAGCTTATTGCAGGGAGCTGACCTTACATACAAGTGGGTACCAGTAGATATCCCACAGGCTGAATTACTGGGATGGGTTATTTTAGATGGGAGAAACTGTGGGAGGAGTAGATTATTTTTGTTGCATTTATATGTTTGGCCCATATAATAGCTGAACTCATTTCCCATCCTCTCTGGGCATGGCAAGGCCCTATGGTTAGCTGCATGCTTTTGCATTGGAGTTTATATGTATTCTTTTTTTTCTTTTTTTTTTTTTTTTGGCAAAACTTGTATACACCTAGGATCTTATCACCAAAAGAAGTATTAAAAACCTGGTATTTATTTAATTTCCCTGTATCTGTGTGTACCTATAAACTTTAAAGATGTACA